ATGTGTATTTTATTTACCATCTGTTATTTGACATTTGACTATGTTACTAGTTAAAATTATTATAATTTATAGCAAACTTTTTACATACTTGTCAAAACCATGTATATAAGGTTAGTTTTACTAATATTATAGCAATATTAACAATAAAAATAAGAATTCCATCTATAATTATTTTACTATGCAATTATAGTCGTAAATACCAAGCATATTTCTCTCAGTGCAACGCCGGGATGTTTTGGAGCAACGAGTGCTGCGTCTCTCTCTCTCTCTCTCTCGCTCTTCCCGTTTGTTGTGTTGTACATACGACGATCCGCATACGGGCCGTTAATTACGCTCGCGTTCAATGCGGCTGATAATGCGCCGTAAGCATATACGACCTGTCGCGAAACCGCGGTATTAGTATAGTATTAATTACGTTCATAGTTGTGCGTAGCAGCAAACCGTAAGCAATAATTACGCGCGCAGTTATATCAGCGCGCGCTACTTTCGCTCCGCGACTGATTTACTCCGCATCGGCGTCGTCACGTTCGCGCGCGTTTATAAAATTAATCGTCAGCGATTCTGCGAAAGAGAGCGGGGAGGTAAATGGCGAGATATATATCAACGGAAGACAGAAACGTTTCTATAAGTTATACGCTCGCGACCGATATATCGCGACGTTGCGTTTCAATAAATAATACTTTAGCGATCCGCGCCGGCTTGGTACGGCAGTATTTGTGGCCGCATTAATTTGCGCGTTTATCGCAAACTAATTTACAGTTGCTTAAACGAGCTAATCGAGATATGTACAGATCCTGGCGAGTTTGTCGTCCGACACGAACTTCTCATCTTCGCGTTTGATTTTCGAACACAAAGCAAATAACACAGTCGATAAATAGCACCTCGCGCGCGTGTTCGATCTCCCCCATCTCCAAATACAATATTCTCGCGGCGCGAGCGAATTATTCGCACGGACAAAATTAATTATGTCAATCTCGCGTAAATTATAAATAATTGTCAAACGATATTGCGATCGTTCGATATACGATTAAAACTGCGGTATTTTGTCAGAATTGTGTTTCATAGAAAGACGGTGCGATATATGAGAGCAATACGGGGGGTATCTTCCGTTTTTAATATTACACTCTGTAGTGTTTTGCAAACAGTGGATCTGCGATCTGAAGAAACCGTGGAATCGAAATTTCAGCGATTCTGTATTTTATTACAAATATATTGTTTATTAGAATTGTATTGTTTATTTGATTCTTGCGGTCGTTCGTTTATTCATCGCTGTTTGCTCAGTCTAATCGCGTCTTTAGACCATAACGTCGCGGTTCTACCGCGGATTACGAAATTGTTCGCTAACCTTCGCCATTGTCATTCCGGTCTGCCGATGTTTCCACACCTTTTGCATAGGATTCGCGATACGTGTGAATTATAATGTTATCGCGTCGATAAGCTGGTGTTTCAATCGCGCCGCGCATACCGTCGTTGCGTGCGACTACTGCGGAAATTCGATAATTCGAATTCGTTACGGGAAAATTTGCGTTGTTTGTTTGGTTTTTTTTTTTTTTTTTTTTTTGCAAGCTTTCGCATCCTGCTTCTGAGTTTTTTTTTCAAGCCCGTTTTTCAACCGTATAAAATTTTCACATCATTCCTCGCAAATCTGCTTATTCAATTTTATTTCAAGAGCCAACGATGTCGAGACGTTTTTATTTCAGCGCGGGTCAGTGTCCTGTTATTCATACGACTCGAGCGGAAACCTACGCCGACGTACCGATCTCATTATAGAATCGTACGAAGTCTTACAAAAGCCATTATATAAAGCTGTATAAAGATTTCGACAAGAATACATACGACTTGTTTGTTCCGTCAACCACATAAAGAATTCGATACCACGAGCTTTTCCCGTCTCTGTTTATCCTTTTTCCTATTGATCGCATGGTGTATACGTGTAGCGCGAATGGTTGTTACGCTCTACAAACCAATGCAATTCCGCAGTGTATCGCTTTCCCGCGCGCGCAAGGCGCAATTATTTTGCATCGCGCGATCGTTTAGTCGCACAAAGGTGTGCGACAATGGTACATTATTGGTTTAATCTAATGGCGCATTAATCCGAGTCTTTACATACGTGTACAACAAACGTTAGGTACGTATATATATATATATATATTTCATTTCATCCCGACACACTTTATCGGATTCCCCCATATTTGCTTCGTCTAAATAGAGTGTCCGTATCCGGGAAGCAGATTTACTTGATTTGATTTAATGTGAATTATACTACCAAATAAATTTTTTACTTTACGTGAATTTACGCCACACACACACACACACGCAAATTCTTAATAATATTTTTGAGTTTTATTTTTGTGACAAATTTATATTCTCTCTGTTGCGTTTATTTATGCCGACGGCTTTCTTTTTCTGATGCCGGCAATGTAAATATGTCGGGACCGATATATAATTCCGGACTCAGTTTTTTTTTTTTTTTTTCACTTCTGTCGCTCAAATATATAGATATGTTCCGCGAGAACCCTCGCGCGATTTTTCCCGAGACGTCCCGAGCAAATATACAATTATGCAAAGTGGCGCATTTTTCGACGCGAATTTATTTCGTTCCGCGAGAAGCATCCCTCCTTCTTCCTCTGTGCGCGGGACGGAAACGCATTACGATAAAAATAAATCGCGCGGAAGCGGCTCTTTACCCTCGAATATTCCGTCGTAAATGTACGACACCGAGAGAAGTCCGTGCGAGGTGGATCCTAAGTAGCTCGTGCCGCGTATCCCGAACGCCTCGATGAATAAGCTTCGGGCGGAGGTCGGAATCTTCACGAAGAATTTTCCCCCGCATACCGAAACAACCGCTCGTCCCTAAAACGCGCAAGGGTTTTGTCGACGGGGAATGGCGCGAGAGGAGAAGACGAGCGATTCTCCTCTTCGGTCGGGGATGCTCTTCCCCGAAACTTTAAATCACCGACCCGGAGTCATACACACACATACACACATATATATATATATATATATGTAGAAATATATGTATACGTACGTACATATACGTATATACGACTGGGAGAGGTGTGCGTAGCGCGCGCGAGCGAGCGAAGTGCATCAACCTGTTGCGCCGTTCGTCACTCACCTTGATTGCCAGAGCCATTCCGAAACTTCGGGTTGGGTTCGGTCGGTCAATCGGTCGGTCGGTGTAGAGAGATCTAGTCGTTTGATCTCGAATGTTCGTGGCAGGCAAGTAGACGGTATCGATCAGCGACTGACGAGAGTCGATTGAGGTGACGAGGGATGATGTGTGTGCAAACACAGTAGCAACTTTACGCCAAAGACGGTCTCGAATATGTGGGCGCTCCTTTTGGTCGTCGACGCCTGTCTGTCCTCTCACCGCGAGACAGCGCTATACACTGGCGAGTCCAGGAGAGGTACGCGTGTCCGTGGCCTTTTCTCCCCTTCTTTTCGATAAGCATTAAAGCACGCGTGACTCGCGATACGCGATATATACCGCTCCTCGGGAGAGATGTTTTGTACGCGTTCGAGGCGCCGACGAGCGTCGAAAGAAGGGGCCGCGCGTGACGTACGTCGAGCGAAAAGCGTTGTTTTTTTTTCTTTTCTTTTAGTCGTCTTTGATAGATACGCATGATTGGATGCTGGTATTTCGCGAGACTTTCGTTCGACTACTGTTCCTTTCGCGAAAAGCGAAGAGACGAGGAAAGAAAGCACTTGAGATATGATTTTCTTTCGATTTGTTTTGTAAACGACGATCTCGCAACGCGAAACGTCGAATGAATTTAAAAACTCAGTCGGTGTAATTGGAAAGATGCTAAATTTTCTTCGAAGAAGTTGCGCGCGAAGATCGATTTACAAGACTCTTGAGAATCTTTCTCAACTATCGCGACGATCTCTGACACATTTGTGTTTAGTTTTATTTCCGACGCGATAATCTCCACCAGGCGAACGTCATCTTGCCTCATATCGCATGCATATGGCACGCTTTCGACTTCGCTCGCTCCCGGTCGTGTCAACGTACGCGAAGCGGAACGGACTCGCTTCGTATAAATCGGTTTCTTCGTCGAATCCGCGGAGGAACTCGAGGCAGAGATTTCGCGTCATTAGGCAAGCGCCGGTTCGATTTCACTCATTGAAGAAACGCGTTGTCATAGACGACTATTTTTGTTCCATTATCTCGACGGAAACGAATTTCATGCGTTATGTCACACCCGGAAAATCAACTCGCGCATTCGCCGACTCCGCGTTCTCGACGCGCTTAAAAAAATAACATCAACTGGCGAAATTTGTCAAAGACAATAGCACAGTAGTCGCGTGTAGAACACGCTGTAAATGCATCGCATTCTTTAGCTCGGAGAACATAAATCCGTTATGCAAAACTATATATATCGCAGCTCCGTTGTTATTTATCGGTGTCGCTGTCGATGAACTTTGCTATCTTGGTATCTTCATCCGATACGCTCGCGAAGAGAGATACTAAAGTCGCGAAGTTAAAAAGTCTCTCGATAGGGACTACGGCTAATAATGTCATAACGATAACGTTCGCTACTTGACCCGCGAGTTTAAATAAATTACGTACTTTTACTTTGTAGCTTTACTAGTTTCTTCATCCTTTTTTCCATACTTAATTTATATCTTTTGCGCAATTTGCGCGCTTCTCCCACAGCTGTGTTTTTTTTTTCTCTTACTTTTTTACTTTTTCACTTTTTTTTTAAGTCTTCAAAGCGCACATAATCCACTTGCCTTATGGATTTATCTTGTAAACGACACTGCATAATGGTAACAAGCGGAGTCGTCCGGTAAACGTTTCCCATATTTTCCTAACAAAATTAATCACCGCGCAAATGCGGGATAAAATATATTCGCCGTCGTGTAAAAATATGCATTCATCTCGTCGTACGTTCGGGTCTCGACTTTTTCTCGACCGGTCGGGCCGCCGTGCCGCTTAATGTGGCATTTGCATCGCAAATTTCGCCGCTATTTCCTCCGCCGCGCCGGATACATCCGATCCGCAAAGTTGCACCGTTATAAAACGTCAAGCGATTCCGATAAAATCACCCGACCTGTCTTTCTTCTCCTCTCTTTCTCTCTCTCTCTCTCTCGGACAAATAACGAGTTAACGAGCGTATTTTTCGGCGAGCGTTCACGCGCCACGCCGTCGTCTCTTGCTCTCGCTCCGCCACGCCGTCGACCTCTTTTCTCGCTTTTTTTTGTTTTACACACGTTTCACCGAAGCGACTTCGCGACCTGGAAGCGCGAGAAAGAGGTCCCGATAAAATCGACGGATTTAATGGGCGACCGGTGCGCGGTGTTCCGCGTGATTCGACGCGTCGTTCGCGCACTCGTCCCCCATATTCGCGACGATAACGGATTTCGAAAAAAAAAAAAACGAGCGAAAAAGAAAAAAGGAGGCCCGTCAGAAGAGACGTGAAAAATATACCGTCGGCTGCGCCGGCGTGAAAGAAAACGCGTGGACCGGTAACGCAAACTTCACGTTGACGGGATGGAACCGACGACGGGAAAAATTCGTGCCTTGTATCGATGGAGGTTACATTGACCGGGATTCGACAACTCTCGAGAGGAGTTTTCGCGGTTTCGTGTCGGTGGAATTACGTCGACAGCGGTGTTTGTGTGTGAGAGAGAGAGAAAGAGAAAAAGCATAAACGCGAGCGCGAAATTGGATAGAATCGAATTACTGACTACTGAATAATCAAATTATTATATATTACGATTATGATTACTAGTCAATATTCATGATTAGTTCATGTTCGCATGATTGATAAATAAGTGAGCATTAAGCACAACTGAATAAATTTTAGGACTGAATTGTTAATTATTATAAATTCGAGAGAGCGATTACATGTTTCTTTCGTCATGTGAAATTTGTCTTGTGCAGATAAAAAACTTAAATTGTAATATAACAGAAAATACACGAGGAAAAAGTGAAAAGTTGTTGCTTTGTTTTAACTGTATATACTACTGTTATATAATTATTATAGGATTTACGTGATGTTCATGGACACACGTACGCTACATTGTTAAATCAATCTGTGTCGAGCTGAAAACGATGAAAATAAAAGTGATAGAGAGAAACATTCTCTTTCGACTTAAATTAAACACTAATTCTTTAATGTCACGTAAATAAATTAGAGTTAAAACGCTCGCTGCTCAGTCAAGTCTAAAACGGGAGAAAGTATATTTTATTACATCTCTGTTGCATTTCTGGGATTCCGGAATTCGCGGAACGATTTTCATTTCGGAGGCGTTTATAAATGCAAGAATGACTGACATCTCGAAATTCTCTCGTTAAACATTTCATTTCCGGCTTAGGGATATATAGATCGCACTGTTAACATTTTATACACCACTTGCGAAATTTCTCGTGTATATTGGCACACGGAAGTGATTTTCGTGGCATCGTGCGCGCACTGGCGCTCACGATCGAGAGGGCGAATTTCAGCTTTGGCGGGCGCGCCCGCCCGCCGCCCGTTGCGATCACGTCGATTTGTTCGGCAGCTTCCGTAGAAAGATTTAATTTTCCGGGAGCAACGAGAAGTGTATTTTTGTTTGGGGAGATTTTCGCGCCGGCGGCATCCAAAAGAGGGTGGAACCGACGTGTCGGAGCGATTGCCGTCCGTCCTCTCGTCGATGCTTTCGCGCGCGCGCTTCGATTTTTTTTCACGCTACCTCTCCGTCATCGGCTGCGACCTTCTTTTTTTCCTTTTTCGTCACCCGACTAGGTTGTCGGGAGCTGTTTGAATGGGCGATCGTTCCGAGGCGATCCGATTGTTCCAACGGAACGAGTTTACCCCGAAAAAAAAAAAAGGAGAGCTCCTCCCCCCTCCCCCGATGGGAAAAGAGGAGATCGATGGCTTATTGTGCTGTTAGTCACGTCGTGTGAGGAAGCGGAAGAGGAGGTACGAAGTGAAAATACCAAGGAGAGAGAGAAGCTCGATTCGCTTCGAGTTTATTTAACATTTACAGCCGTTTAATAGCGCAGTTGATTTCGTGTCGTTTTTGCGGTACGTCTCATGAATATCGAAACACGCTCCGACTCGAGATATAAGTAACACGGTTATTTCACGTTTATTATTATTCCATTTAATTGTTGTTTAATTATATTACACAATCGAGATGAATTTCACACTTATTTATACACATTTATTTCACATTTTTATACACATTTATTTATTTTTTTATACATTTATTTTTATATATTTATTTCACACTTATATTACACCGCGATCCGCGAGAATGATAGAGAATGTGATATACATTTATTTCGAGTAAATTAATAGATTCATATAGGATGTTTATACAATGTGCATATAAAATAAACGTGTATATTTATAAATTTATATAAACGTGTATATAATAAGTCGGAGTATTTTTTCTAATTCTAATCTAACGTTTTAAGAGAAATCGATTTTGTCGCGCGCAACCATCATTCTCGTGGACCGCGGTGTAAAACGATAACGCACTTTAGTAACAGCTATTACAACGCGTTTGTCGGAAAAATTATATCCCCGGACACGGGGAGGAGGGAGGGGGGGGGGCGGGCGCACGATCGTGCGAGAAAATTAGGAAAACTACGTCGGCGATTAAGCCGGATTTTAACGGGAACGTGCCAGGTGTAAATTTGAGGTATCGCGCGAATGTGGTCGCGTTAATTTCTTCTTTTTTTTTTTCGTTGTCGCCTATCCCCCCCTCCAGTTATTTACCAAGCTATCGGAAAATTCAACGGTTTTATCTTTCTACCGGGTTTTGCGCAAATGGTTTTGCCGTTTTTTTTTACACACAAGCGCGTAACAGCGCCATAACACGCGTGGATAGTTGTGTACTACGAATTGCATAAATAAACGTTTTCGCATTTCAATTCGTGTGCGAGAACGAGAGAGCGCGTGCGTTACTAACGTTTAGGTAAAAAAACACGTGCGTATGTATGTATGTATATAAAATATACGGATATGCGCGGATATATATATATCCCTGGCGATCAGTCCTGCGCCGCGTAAATCCTTGACTGCCAAGCGAACTTATATAACGTGAGGAACTGGATTCAGCGGACGTTGCACCAACGACACGGCAGATTAAGAACGTAAAAAAGGATGGGGCTTGTTTTAACCCTTCCACGAGGGTTAATCTCCCGCGAGGGAATTCGAATAACTAGTCCGTAGCTTTAACAAGGGGGGTTTTCCCTCGGTGGATATAAATTTAGATAAACAAGTTTTAATCACATTTTGTTACCGGGAATTTTGTTACTCCATACTCCGACGTTAACTGCGATTTAATTATGTTAATTTTAAACGAATTTACTGTGTATATACAGAGCGAGCATCATTAGTTCTTCGCGAAATTGGCTGAAAAAAAATATGCGCCAGATTGTGCAGAAATCGGCATCGAATTTACGCGCGGCGGCGACGGCGGAATTAATCGCTTAACATTATCGACGGAACTCCCGTCTCTCGTGTGTGT